AGAGTAGGAACTGACTCATAGCTGACCTTCTGGCAGGTTTTCAGAGGCCCTTAATCACATGGGAGGAGACCGCCCCTCCCGCAGAGCAGCTGGTGGCCTCAAACTGTGTGCCGTTGGGACTGTAGCACAGCTTCTTGCCACTAGGCCACCAGAGTATTGTTGGAAAAATGTTCAGGCTTCTGTTGTTTTACATTGTTTACTCCCATATACAGTCCAAGAGCTTTTCCTTTCCTATCTACTCTGGCTAAAATACAGAAAGATATATCTTCTTTTATAACTTTAAGTAATAACAAATATCATGATAAAATTCTACCTCCTTTCTGAAAATTAGTTACATATATGTATTATACGTTCTCTTTTCTAATCATCCATTCCTTTCAGTATGGCCTTCTTTCACCCCTACTGGTGAATGTTCATTATCTAGCCATTCTTTTTGATTCTTTGTCCTGCACCCCATCTAGATTCTATTATTACAATAATGGGTTTATGCAGTACTTATCCCTTTGCGACTGAGATATTTCCAGACTAATCCATGTTGTGTATTGTTTTACAAGTTCATTTATTAATGTTGCATAGTATTCCATATGTGAATGTACCATAATTTCTCTACCCATTCAATTACTGATGGGCACCTAGGCTGTTTCCATTTTTTTAAATATTGTGATTAATGCTGTGATAAACATGGATGTGCATATCTGTTTGCAATACAGCTCTGATTTCTTTGGGTTATATTCCCAGTAATGGGACAGCTGGGTTAAATGATATTTCTATTTTCAGCTTTATGAGGAAGTGTTAGACTTCCATCCATTGTGATTGTACTACTTTATATTGCCACCAGCAGGGTATTAAAATTTCAATCTGTCTGTATCTTCACCAGCATCAACTGTTTGCAGTCCTGTTGAACTTTGCTACTGTTGCTGGGGTGAGATGAAACTCATTTTGTTTTGACTGACAAGTATAATTAAAAAGCTACAACTGCTTGTTGTTGTGGTCGTCAGGTGTCATTGAGTCAAGTATGACTCATAGGGACCTTATCAAAAAAAAAGATCTGAACTCTGTTCTATCCTGCACCATTCTCACATTTCCTCAACATACAAGAGCCCATTGCAGCAGTCACCATGTCAATCCATCTGGTTGAGTGTCTACAACTAGGAGAGGATAAAACAGATGAATGGAACCTTCTAAATATTACATCCTTGTATACATAAAAAAACTTCTCCAGCAGAGTAAAAAGGAAGTCTATAGACGGGGAAAAATATTTGCTGATGACATAGCCATGAAAGAACTCATAATTAAAATTTATAGAATACTCTAGTACATCAACAAGAGAAAAACAAAAAAACCTAATCACAAATAGGCAGAAGAGACGACTAGAAGCTTCACCAAAGAGTGTCAGAGGGCCAGTAAACACATTAGGAATGCTTGACATTGCTAGCTATTAGAGGTGCTGATCTAAACAGTACTACACATTCTTGATATACGATGAATCTGTAATTTCAGTCAAAAGTTTAAATTTTCACTTCATTTAAAAAATTATTTTTGCAAAGATTTTACTTCTTTTAAATATTTTGTCTTTTAAGTTCTTTATTGCAATTATGATAAAATATTTATATTCAAAATTTATTCATTAAGATTCAATTTTATAAAAAATGCTCACTGTCAATTCTATCACACATTCAAAGTGCAATTCATGAATTTTTGGATTAATTTCTTGTTTTGTGACATTAGTTTCAAGTATCTAACGTTAATATCTTTATCATTTGTGTGTTTTCTGGGAATTTAAATTCCATTGAGTCAGAGCTAGTCTGTCTTATAAGCCTCTTAAGTGACCCTACAAACAACAGATGGAAACTTTGCCCTACCCTGTATCATCCTCACATTCTCCGGTCCACTGCAATCACTACATCGATCCATCTGCTGAGGGTCTTCCTTTAAGTTAACTAAGACTTAAACACAGGGTACTAGGCTTAAAATAGTGCGAGGCATACAGCAGATGGTTAACAAATATTGCTGTATGAACAGATAAAAGCATAGATTTGGGAGGGGGGGATTTAGCTCAATCACATTATTTTTCCACAAGCCTGGGAGCAGGAGTGGTATCCACTTCTGAAATAGCTTGCCTCCGGAAACACTATGAACCTGGAGAAAGGAAGAAAGTTATACAGGTGTCCAGGTCTTTCGTTCATAGGGTGGCTATGAGTAGCCTACAACTCAATGACACTTAACAACAACAGCATAGAGAGAGATCAGTTGGCCTCGTGGACATAAAGTGATGCTACCAAGCCAAAGGTGGGTGACTCTAATATGCGGCCCTCGGGCCTGTTTTTAATTGTTTTTAGTGAAACATTCTTCTAGGTCATATAGCCCTCGTCTGTCCACTTGCTGTACAGAGTAAGTCGTGATTGCTGTGATGCTGAACACTGTGACACTGATGTGTCAAATGCGAGAATGATTACCCATGGTGGACAGTGTTCAGTGGAGCTCCCTGATTAAAACAAGCTTGGAAGCAGGAGCGGCATCCACTTCTGAAAGAGCTGCCTCCTGCAACTCCATGAACTTGGAGAAAGGATGAAAGTTATACAAGTGTCCAGGTCTTTCATTCACAGGGTTTCAATTAGTTGCCTACAACTTGACAGTACTTAACAACAACAACAGAGGACTTTTTATCATGCTCTGATACTTTTACTATTCTTTTAATATTGAGGCTCATTATCCTCACTTGAATTTATTCAGGATATGGTGAGGTCTTCTAACCTACAAATTAACCTCTGCCCAACTGGGTTTCTGAGGCTCTGAATAAACACAGGAGGAGACTGCTTATCTTTCTACCTCATAGTGGTTGTCAGATATGAACCATCAACCTTTTGATTAGCAGTTCAATATATAACACAGGATGCTATCAGCACATCTTATTTTCCTCCAGCCTCGTGGGTTATCTGCTTTGTATATAGATTGAAAAGGTCTGTCATGGTGACAGGAAGCATCCCTGATGCACACCTTTCCTGATCCTGAGCCATGCAGTATTTGCCTGCTCTGTTATGACTGGTGTAAGGATAGGTTTCACATAAGCACAATCAGGTGTTCTTTGATTCAAATTCTTCTCAAGGTTAGCCACATATGTTGTGATCCACATCAAATACCTTTGAAGAATCAGTATTTCAGAAGTCGGTATCTATAAATAAACACGCTGTTATCATATAAAGCAAAAGACATGAAGGGAATGGTGGATATGGTATGAAGAAGTAAAGAGAATAAGCCACTCTAAGCAGAACAAGAAAACATAAAAAGACACAGAAGAGAAAGCGCTATATACGGACAGAGGGCAAGGAGATAAAGTACATGGAACAGAAGAGACAGGGTTAGAGAGCTCTCACTGTGGAAACATAGGCAGAGAGTATAAGCTTGCCCTTGAATATTAAGTGGAACACTCTTGTTGCTGCTGGGGGCTGTCAAGCCAAGGAGGACTCATAGCCACCCTATGAACAATGGATCTGACCCCTGTCCTATCTTCTGCCGTCCCCATCATCTCTGCTACACTAAAGTTCTCTGTTAAAGTCAGGGTGTCAACCCATCCTGCTGAGGGTCTTCCCCTCCTGCACTGACCCTCCACTTTTCTGAGCACGATGTCTTTTCCCAAGGAGTTACTCCTAAAAACATGCCCAAAGTATGAGCTGAAGTTTCACCATCCTTCCTTCTATAAGAGGTGCCATCTCTCCAAGAAATATTTATTCTCGCAACAGTCCATGGGATAGTTAGTGTACTTCTCTGGCACCAGAACTCAGTGGCATTAATTCTTCTGTCATCTTTAGTCACTGTGTAGTCTTAGATCACACTGTTTTGAATGACATGACCAGATTTTTCAGGTTGCAACAATTTTTGGTAACAGCTGAATGCTGAAACAGTGGGGACTAAAATTAAAAAAGGATACGAGAAGAGACTCTGAAAGTTGCTCTAGAATGTAGATAAATGAAAGGAAATAGAAGCAATGATGAAGAAAAGAAATTAATAGAAGATTTCAAAGAGAATCAAGAAAAAACAAAGTATTACAAGGCATAGTGTCAGAAATACACACTTGATATATTGCAAGTTGAAGGAATGCAAGGAAAAAAATTCAAGTTGCACACTGCAATACTGAAGGATTAGATGAGTAAAATATTGAATGACACATGAAGCAGTAAAAGAAGACCAAAAAAATATACTGAGTCAGTGTGTCAAAAAAAGAACTGGTCAATAATGAACCACTTTAGGAGGTTACTTATGATCAAGAGCAAATGGTACAGAAGGAAGATGTCCTTTATACATTAGGTAACTGTAGCTCCCAGATAAAAGAATTGAAGCCTTACATCTTTAGGATAGAATTTTTTATAGCTAGTGACTTACTCATTGCTAATAACTGGTGATTGGAATCTGTTGTTAAGTGCTGTCGAGTCGAGTACGACTCATAGGGACCCTATTAACAACAGATCTGAATCCTGTTGTATCCTGCACCATCCTTATCATCCTCAACACAGATGAGTTCATTGGCACAGGCGCTGCATCGATGGTGATGAGGATCTTCCTTTCCTTTGCTGACCCTCCAGTTTTCCAAGCATGATGTCCCTTTTCAAGGAATAACCTCTCCTAACAACATGTCCAAAATACGTGAGATGAAGTTTCACCATGTTTGCCTCCAAGGAACCTTCTGGGTGCACTTTTTCTAAGACATATGAATTATTCCATTTCTTTTTAGTCTGTAATAAGAATAATGAGGCTGTGGTAACAAAAACTGTTGCCTCTTCAGTGGGAGAGGTCTGGATTGATCAAATGAAGTATAAGTAAATCCCCTGGGGTGATGGAACTTTTCAAGATCTTGTTTTCAACACGTGTAATAATGACATAAAAATAATGCATACCAATCATACTACAAAGGAAAAGAAAACTATACCTCCATTAAAAATGTAGTTTTTAAAAGAAAAAGAATAGGAAAAAAATGAGTTTGAACATGGCAATTTTCATCTTACCTTTCTAAGAGCTGATCATGTTTTTCTAAAGCATCTTTTTCAGCCATCACTGCTCGGTCCTTTTCAGCCACTGCATTATCTCTTGCTTCTCGTAGATTTCTAATATTTAAATAAACACTGCAGTTATTTCAAGTGCAATAACAACCGTTTTGAAAGAGTCATAAATATCCTACTAAGAGACAGACTATGTAGCAATTTTAAGTCCCCTCTAGAGCCTAGACATTCAGTGTGTCTATACACCAGACCTGGGGAACTAATAGTGCAGAGCGGTGTAGGTTCAAACGCAATCTCTAAACATTACACGCCCCTTCTCCCCATGGGTGTCAAAAGGGTGGGCTCAGCAGTCTGCCATTCTTTTTCAGTGTGTTATTTCCAGCATAGTAGATTATATGATAGTCTGACTCCAAATGGCCAATACCCGTCCATTTCGGTTCACTAATGTTTAGGAGATAGATCTTTATTCCATTTCATTTCTTACCACTTCCAGTATTACTAGATTCTTACTCTGGACAATCTGTGTTCATTTGCTTTCTTCATTTTCAGTATGCCACCATCAGCAAATATATATATAGGTCCTTCACTGGTCAAAAGCTTTACTACAGACAAGTTCACTCCAACACCCGATCATAAAAAACTGGACTGGCTATTAGAGGTTGGTTCTTATTATTCATGAGGAAAGGAATCCTAGTGGTGTAGTACACAGGAGTTACACTGCTAATCCAAAAGTCACCCTTCTCTGGTGGTTCGAATACACCAGCCACTCTCTGTGAGGAGGATAGGCAACCTCCTCCCAAGTGATCTGCTGGGCTTGGAAAACTACTGGAGGGTCAGATATAAGTCAGGTTCTAATCTGAAGGCAATAGCTCTTTTTTTTTTTATTCATGGAAAATATTAGTAAAGAATCATGAACGTCTTTTTTTGTTGTTGTTATGTGCCGTCTAGTAGCCTGAGACTCATAATGACTCAATGTACAATAGCCCTAAACCCTGCTCTGTCCTGTGCCAATCTTATTGTCTCTTACACACCTACCCCCATTACCTCAGTCTCTGTGTCAATCCACCTCATTGAGGGTCTTCCTCTTTTGCACTATCCCTCCACCCTCCCAAGCATGACGTCCCTCTCCAAGGACTGGTCCCTCCTTGCAACATGTCCAAAGTACGTCAGATGAAGCTTCAGAATCCTTGCCTCCAAGGAGTAGCCTGGTTTCACCCTCTGCAGGAAGAACCTGTTTGTTCTCCTAGCAGTCCAGCACCACAGCTCAAAGGCATCAACTTTCCTTCTATCATTCCTAGTCATTGTCCAGCTTTCTGACGCTTTGTAAGTAACTGCAAAGACTATATGGCCTCGATCAGTTTGACTAAATGTATCTAAAAAGTACTGGATAGAATTGCTTCATGGTCATCCTTGCTATGCCTGCACTCGGTGTTCTTCTGCATGGATACAGACAATAACAAATTTAAAATTTATACATTTCAACTATAAGAGATTTATTACCAAGTAGCTTATGATTCAGAAACAAAAGGTTTTAATTCTTGGAGACATATTGAAAGACAGATTGAAAAGAAGAGAAACTATTCTTATATGATAATCTAAAGAGATGTGCATTTTAAAGTAGATATTACAAAATTGTCATTATTTTCTGACAAATTCCTGATTGTAGCAACTTTTAAAGTTATTTGAAAATTAACTAAAACATACGGAGTTAACTTTAAAAATGCAACAGAATTCTCAAAGTATATGAAACATTTTTATATTTTTCCATTCTGAGCTGAACATTTTAGTCAATAAATCACTACAAATTCATTGTAATTTTGTATTCTCAGAAATGGCTTAAATATTTCACATAAATATTAGTCACACTTTTGTTGTTATGTGCTGCTGAGTTGCCTGCAACACATAGTGACCCTATGCACACAGCTCTGAACCCTGCCCTGCCCTGTGCCAATCTTGCTGACTCCAACACAACCACCCGCATTACCCCAGTTACTGTATCAATCCATCTCATCGGGGTCTTCCTCCCCTGTGCTGTCCCTCTACCCTTCCAAGCATGATGTCTTTCTCCAAGGACTGGTCCCGCCTGGCCACGTGTCCAAAGTATGTGAGATGGAGCTTCAAAATCCTAGCTTCCAATCAAGGACTAACTAATCATAAGAGATCCGTAGAAGCTTCAGTCCTCAGTTAAATTTTCTTTTCTATTATAAAGGACATTAGAAATAAAACCAAGTGATAAATAAGGAATGAAAGAAAACTCAAAAGAGGCTGATGTCAGGTTTGTGAGAGGAAATATAATTACTTTTGGTTAAAGTGTACGAGTGCTCAGGGAAGGAATTTCTGGTGGGGTAATTTGAATGGAGTTGTACTGCTAGCAGAGACTCTAGCCTCTCTAGTGGTTTGGATCCACTGCTACTACGTGGATAGTTCACAGCTTCCAAAAACCCACTGGAATCAGTTATGAGAGTTGATTCCAACTCTGAGACAATTACTTAAGTGATTAGAGGGTTGTTCTGACTCCATTAAGTCCATCATGGTGGGTCTCATTTTGGGTAATACAGTCACAATGTACCTGTGCTATCTAGCTGCTTGTACATGATGCTATGTTGAGGTCTAAATGAAATTTTGTGGCTATATTGTTGTTGTTGTTGAGTGACGTTGAGCTAAGAGAACTGAAAAACAAATTCAAACATTTAATTGCAATACTGAGTGATGCTGTGGCAAAATCTTAAATGATCAAGGAAGCATCAAACGAAAATAGAGGGAATGCACAGAGCCACCGTACCAAAGACAATTGGTCAATACTGAAATATCTCAGGAAGAAGCATATGATAAAGAGCCAATAGAAATGAAAGAAGAAATTCACTGAAGGCACTGGCAAAAGACAAGTCCCTGGGAATTACTGAACTACCAAGTGACATGTTTCCCCTAACAGATGCAGCCTTGGTTGTGCTCACTGGTCTGTGCCATGGAATTTGGAAGACAGCTAACCGGCCAACTGAATGAAAGAGATCGATATTTGTTCCCATTCCCAAGAAAGGTGATCCAACAGGCTGTGGAAATTATCAAACAAAATCATTAATATACATGCAAGCAAAATATTGGGGAAAATCCTCCAAAAATGGCTAGAACAGAACACTGACAAAGAACTGCCAGAAGTTCCCTGGCCTGAAAGGGGAGGAATTATTTTTAACCAGACAAAGAGAGGTGAGTAAATAAAGAGAACATTTTAAAACAAGAAAGAGGGAAAGATAAAAGAAGAGGAGTAAAGGCAATCCTGAGAGAGAGGAGCTCAGGATTCCACCACAGCCCTCCCGGGTGTGTGCTGATAAAATTTTTGTGTAAGTCACAGTACCGTCACAGGTAGCAACTTACTCATCCTATCCACAATACACAAGCTTTAACTAGTAGTATTATCATTCCATATAATACGGAACAGGAGATATTTCCTTCAATATTATCAAGTGAATTTCAAGGTTTGCAGTTATTTTCTGAATCTTGTAAATTCAATATATTAATACATGGATTATAAGAACAAAGTCATCAAGAGCTAGAAACTGTCCTTTATATATGGTAACTTCCAATCACATAATCTTTTACATATAAGCCTCATAATAATCAGACAAGGAATAGGTTTCATTAGCATCTCCATTTCACAAATGAAAATACTTATAGGCAGAAGAGAGGTTAAGAATTATCCCAAGATCATACAGATGACAATGTGGCTCCAGATTCTATGCTCTTCATCATACTATGTTACCTCTTTTACGACTCTCTTTTATTTCATAGACATTATGGTCTTGAGTATTTTTGACATTATGAGATTCTTATTACATGATCATTTTTTAGCACAAACAGATGCGAAGTTAAAATAAACCTTGAGAAAACTGTGACTATGTTACACACTCATTTTTATGACTCACAGTATATGACGTGGTCTTTCAAAATTAATACTGGTTAGATAAAAGACCCAATGTATTGAACTCCAAGACCCAATGCATTGAAATCCTACCACAGATAAAATAATAACTGCCCTAAAACAATTAAGTTATCCATTTCTAAATGCTAAATGCATTACAAAATGCCACACAAATACAATTTTATACAATAGACAGCAGGAATTCAAATGTTCTTCCAAAGAGAAATTTGAAAAATTGGTAGACACTCTCTACAGCACAGGGAAAGAAGAAGAGAGATCTGACTTTGGAAAAGTTTTCATTATTGTTTATCATGAAATTGAACCCACAGCTGGCCCTCTTTTGGGGTTTTCAGAGCAAGTGAATCGCCAGGGAGGAGAATGCCCATCTTTCTCCCTAGAGCAGCTGTGGATTTGAACTCTGTGCTTATGTGTTAGAAATGCAGCTCCTTACCTAAGCCAACAGAGCAAGTACAAGGTAATACAATTCAAGTTTTGAAATCTACGCGAAACACAAAATCAAATGTAATAATTGAGAGTAATGCCTGGAATTGGCTAATTTTATAACAAATGTTATAAAATACATAAACTCAAAGATTTCACCTTGGAAACTCTTTTATAAAAGATAGTTTGTGATCTCCAAACTGTGTACTATGATTCTTTCATGGTTTCATCCTCCCCCCATAAAGACATACCCACATCTTCCATTCTCCCTATCTATGTTTGCATGTGTGAGGTAGATTGAAAGGAAAGATGGGAGGAAAAGGTAAAAGACGGAAATCTTATCTGTGAAATGAAAAGTTGAGTATAGTAGCATTATTAATTGAATGTCCAAATAATTCAACCTGTTCTTGTTGTGTGACATGAGGGATCAACTCATAGCTTACTCTCCAGCAGGTTTTCAGAGGCAGTAAATTGCAGCAGAGATTGCCTTCTCCTGTGGAGCAGTTGGTGGACTCGAACTGCATGCCTTTGGGACTGAAGGACAGCTTCTTACAACTAGGCCACCAATGTTAGGACTTTTGTTTTTAGGAAGCTCTGGTAGCCTAGTGGATAAGGAGCTGTGCTGCCAACCCAAAGGTGGGCTGTTTGAATCCACTAGGAGCTCCACAGTGGAAAGATGGGCAATTATCTCCCATGCAAATCACAGGCTCTAAAAACCCACTGGAGGGTCAGCTATGGAGCCATCTCT